GGGGGGCACAGGGACGGGGGGCACAGGGAGGGGGGGCACAGGGAGGGGGGGGGGCGCAGGGACGGGGGGGCGCAGGGACGGGGGGCGCAGGGACGGGGGGCACGCTCACCTGAGCTGAGAAGCCGCAGAAAAAGCCGAACCAGAAGTGGACCATGGTGAAGGCGAAGTTCTTGTAGAAGAAATAGCAGAGGAATTTGCACATGCGTAGGTAGGACCAGCGCCCGTGCACCAGGAGCAGGCGCTGCAGGAACTTGAACTGTGAGAAGGAGTAGTCGGAGGCCAGCACTGCCTGGATGCCCTCCTGCCCGCTGATGCCCACCCCGATGTGCGCGGCTGCAGAAGAGGGGCACAGGGTGAGCGGCACAGGGCGACACCCCCGAGGGGATGGGACAGCAGCAGGAGGGACCCGGCCCCCTCCCACACTCGCCGGGCCCCACGACTCAACTCTTGATCATGCTGACGTCGTTGGCCCCGTCCCCGATGGCCAAAGTCACCGCCTTCTTGTACTTCTTGACCAGCTCCACCACCTGTGCCTTCTGCAGGGGCGTCACACGGCAGCAGATCACGGCCTTGCAGGCGCACGCTGTCTCCAGGAACTCCACCTCCATGTCTGCCTCCAGCGCGTGGGCCTGGCAGGGGAGCGTGGGGCCGGGTGAGGTTGGACCCACAGCCAGGGGGGCAGCAGACCCGCAGTTAAAGGGCGATCAGAGCCACAGCAGGCAGGGCGCCGTGGCCAGCTTGAGCTCCCTACCAGGCTGTGCCCGTTGATGACCAGAGCGTATTCGCCCGCGATGGCTTCCAGCACGGAGGTGAGCTTTGAAGAGGAGAGTTTCTCCTGGTAGGAGAAGCCATTGCCCATGGAGCGCGATCCATCCATCATCTTCTCCCGGGCTTTCCTGAGGAGGGAGCCAGGGGGGGTCAGGGGGGTCTGCTCAGAGCACCCCCAGCTGTGGGGCACAGCCCCACACCTCCGTCCTCACCTGAGCTCCTCGCGCACCTCCAGCACGGTGTGGCCCGTGACCACGAACACCTCGCTCATGTCATCTGTCAGCATCTTGCAGGAGTAGCCGATGTTCACTGCTGTTTCTGCAGAAGGGGAACCTGGGGCTGAGCAGAGGGGGAAACGTGTGCCCCCCATCCCTGCCCTCACAGACGGGACCCGGCCCACGAACACCCCCGTGTTCCAGCAGCGCCGTGCCTCACCCTGCTTGTCCCCCGTCAGCACCCAGATCTTGATGTTGGCCAGCGTCAGGATGGCGATGGTTTCGGGGACGCCCTGCTGCAGTTTGTCCTCGATGGCCGTGGCTCCAAGCAGCTGCGGGACCGGCGCAGGTGGGGGGTTCAGCACAGGCTGCCCTCAGCCTCCCCCTCCCCACATCCCCAGCCCACACACCGTCATGTTATGCTCCACCTCGTCGTAGAGCCGGGCCAGGCGATCCTCGCGGGCCTCAGGAGCTCCGCTGGCACGGCGCAGCCGTTCAGCCCAGTCCTCATAGTAGCTCTCCTCCAGGTCCTTGCAGGCCAACACCAACGTGCGCAGCCCCTCGCCGGCGTATTCCTGCAAGCAGCCACAGCTGGGCACGGTCAGACCCCAAACGGCGTCCCCACACCTCGACCCCCACGGGACGCAGCCCCCCAGCCCCGCTCACGTTCAGGTGGTCCGTGGTGACGTTGCTCAGGTCCTGGTTGGAGGGGTGCAGGCGCTCCAGCAGGATGGTGTCGGCGCCTTTGCAGTACAGCCGGATTTTGCCCTCAGGGCTGCGCACTGCGGGAAGGGGGGGGACAGGCTGCCAGGCTCAGGGGTGCAGGAGCAGAGCCTCCTCCGAGCCCCGACCGCATCCCTGCGACATCTCCACACCACGGGGGGCTGTTTCCCAGCACCAGGCTGAGCCCCAGCCGCCCAGCCCCACTTCAGCCCGCCCCCAAACTCCCCAGCCCTGCTCTCACCGATGACAGACATGCGTTTGCGGATGTTGTTGAAGTCCAGGATGGCCAGCAGCTGGTAGGTAACAGCTCGGCCCAGCTCGTGCACCGTGATGGTTTTGGGTGTGCGGGACCGGAACACGAAGCCAAAGTTCCTGGCAGCTGTGACCAATGCCCCCTCGTCTGGGGACTGCGCCTTGTAGTACAGCTCCCCTGAGGACGGGGGACAGCAGGGGCTCAGTGCCGCCTCCCGTGCAGCGTGGGCAGCCCTGCCCTCCTCACCCACCTTCGCTCTTCTCCTCGGACATGACGGTGTGGCAGAGCGAGAGCAGGCGGAAGAATTCGTGCACGTGGGGATCCCCCAGCTGGACGGCCTCCAGCAGGCTGGGGTCCCAGAATTGGAATCCCGGATCCGCCAGCGGGTTGAAGGAGAAGTCAACGGGCTCCGGCCTCTGGCGGGGACCGAGGAGGGGTCACCCCACGGCACGCAGCAACCCGCAGCCCAGGGCTGGGCGCAGCGCCCTCACCTCTCCCAGCTCCACTTTAGGACCCAGCACGTCCTGCGCGTCGCCTGCAAAAGGGACGTGGGGTGAACCATGGGGGCTGAGCGCCGCAGGCCTGCTGCCACACACACACAGCGCTGCCGAGGGGCAGCGCAGCCCCACAGAGCTGAGGTGGTTCCCTTCCAAACCTCTCCAAGTGCTCTGGGAGGAGCAGACGGATACCCCAAGGCAGGAAAGGCAGTGGGGCACCCACACCTACACCCCGGTGCTCACCGTAGCTGTGCCCGTTCACGGAGCACTTGCTGAAGACCATGATGTTCTGGGTGAGGGTGCCGGTCTTGTCGGAGAAGATGTACTCCACCTGCCCCAGCTCCTCGTTCAGGGTGGTGGTCCGTGCCTCAGCCGGCGTCCGGCGCTTGGCACAGTACATCTTCTTGTCCCAGTTGATGAAGTAGCTGTGCCCGAGGCGGATCACCTCCACGCTGCAGGGGGAGGGGGGATGGGGGTCAGCGGGCAAAGCAACACAGCGCTGAGACAGTGAGGGACACGCACCCCCCCCCCCCCCCCCCCCCCCCCCACGCACACCCCTGGCACCCGGGGCTCCCCGGCACCCGCTGCCCCGCGCCCTTCCCCAGAGCTGAGCTCACATCCACTCCTGCCAACAGCCACCACCACAGCTCAGGATGCGGGGCTGGGACTGCAGGGCTGGGACTGCAGGGCTACCCGGGCATCTCGCACACCTGCGCACCCCCAAACCGCCCCCCCAGCCCCCAGGGAAGACAGCAACGAGCCAGTGGGAGGGGTGGGGGTGACACGTTCTTACCTCGGGGCTAAGGGTGACAGAACCCATGCTGGGGAACGAAAAGAGAGAGAAATTAAAAGAGAGAGAGAAAGGGACAGTGCAGGAGCCTGGGAGCTGCGGGAGGGCAGAGCAAAATAACCAGCGTGCAGCCAGGGCAGGGAGACAGGAGCAGCCAGACAGATGCAGCCGGGGGGGGAGAGGGGCCACTGACCCTCTGGGTCTCAGGCCTTGGAGAACCAAGGAGAACCCCAGGGCAGACGCAGCCCATCTCCAGCAGAGCAGCCCCTGCCCACCCCACGCACAGCCCTGCCCCAGGGTCCCCATCTCCTCCTCCCCTCTCCACAGGACCCCCTGCTAGCAGAGCCCACCCCCCTCACATCCCTCAGCCCATCCCCACAGCCCTGCCCCTACCTCACGTAGAGCGAGATGGGCACCACGGTGTTGAGGATGATGATGTAGGACCAGAAGGAGAGAAAGCCGGAGAAGACGGC